CTGTGGAGCGGGGCGCTGCGCGCATCACCTTGTCCTCCGACGCACTGATCACTGATACAGCCGCCAAACAGCAAGCGCTCCGCTGTTTTAGCGGTCGGTAGATCTTTTAGAACTGCAGTTCAAAGGTAACTCATGAGGTGAATATATATGAACCCAGGTAGCAGTTTTTCTTTAGGATTGAGAGGAGATGCAGGAAGATAATAAACAGGCAGGACAGAAAAATAGTCAAATAAAAACAAGTTAGTTTTTGTACCTGCTGTTGCAACAAACAGACACCATTGAAGGTAATCAGAAGTGAGGAACAGAAAATGAAATAATTATTTTAATGTTTAGAGCAGCAGGAACTCCGAGAGGCTGCAGGCGCATCAGTGAGTTTGCAGCCGCTGCGCAGGGGGAGGGGGGAGAGGGCTGAAGCAGGAACTACCGTTGTTAAATGAATTGTGTTTAACTTTGAAAATGTGGGCGCAATTTTAATTGTCAAAAACTCCAGCGAACCATTAGTTCATTTTGCTCAAATAGAAATAGAGGCCTGCCTCTAATACTGGCCCTCCTTCCAATAAAGGCCTGGAGCTTGATGAGCTTGAGTCAAATACAGGCCCGGGCCTGTATTAGAGGATTTACGGTATATCTGTACTCGGAATGGGCGTGGCATTACCCGGAAGTGGGTGTGGTTTAACCGGAAGTGGGTGTGGTTTACATCAATACATTATTTTAAGTCTGAAATTAATATGGAATGATCAGAAGTTGATATGTGTATTGTTTATTCAAAAACTATTTACAGAGCAGCCTCAGAATTGAGATTAAATATTTTTGATCACAATAGTAAAGGAACTATTTCAGAACAAGTGTTTCAATAAAATCAGAACATTAAAATTTAAGTGCGTGGATTAGTACATCTGAACTCCTGCAGTAGGAACTAGGAAATATGAAATGCTACAACCAGACACAACTTTATGTAATGTTCATTAAAACGTTAAAATGTTTATTAAAACATTAAAATCTTCATTAAAAGATTAAATTCTTCATTAAAACGTTAAAATGTTCATTAAAATGTTAAAATGTTCATTTTTAAAAACGTTAAAATAATCATTAAAACATTTAAAGTTTCATTAAAACGTTAAAATGTTCATTAAAATGTTAAAATGTTCATTAAAACGTTAAAATCTTCATTAAAACGTTAAAATGTTCATGAAAATGTTTAAATGTCCATTAAAACGTTAAATTCTTCATTAAAACGTTTAAATGTTCATTTTTAAAAATGTTAAAAGGTTCATTAAAACGTTAAAATTTTCATTAAAATGTTAAAATGTTCATTACAATGTAAAAATCTTCATTAAAACGTTAAAATGTTCATTAAAACGTTAAATTCTTCATTAAAACGTTAAAATCTTCATTAAAACGTTTAAATGTTCGTTTTTAAAAACGTTAAAATCGTCATTAAAACGTTAAAATCTTCATTAAAACGTTAAAATCATCATTAAAATGTTTAAATGTTCATTAAAATGTTAAATTCTTCATTAAAATGGTTAAATGTTCATTTTTTAAAAATGTTAAAATCTTCATTAAAAATTTAAAATGTTCATTTAAATGTTAAAATGTTCATTAAAACGTTAAAATCTTCATTAAAATGTTTAAATGTTCAGTTTTAAAAACGTTAAAATGTTCATTAAAATGATAAAATGTTCATTAAAACGTTTAAATGTTCAGTTTTAAAAACGTTTAAAGGTTCAATAAAACGTTAAAATCTTCATTTTTTTAAACGTTAAAATGTTCATTAAAACGTTTAAATGTTCAGTATAATGTTAAAATCTTCATTCAAACATTAAAATATTCATTAAAATGTTAAAATGTTCATTAAAACAATAAATTCTTCATTAAAACATTTAAATGTTCATTTTTAAAAACATTAAAAGGTTCATTAAAATGTTTAAATGTTCATTTTTAAAAACGTTAAAATGTTAATTAAAATGTTTAAATGTTCATTAAAATGTTAAATTCTTCATTAAAACTTTTAAATTTTCATTTTTAAAAACGTTTAAAGGTTCATTAAAACGTTAAATTTTTCATTACAACGTTTAAATGTTCATTTTTAAAACGTTTAAAGGTTCATTAAAAAGTTAAAATGTTCATTTTTTGAAACAAGCAGTCTCTTTCTGACATCATAAAGAAACAAGCAGTCTCCATTTGACATCATAAATAAACAAGCAGTCTCCTTCTTATATCATGTAGAAACAAGCAGTCTCCTTCTGACATCATAAAGAAACAAGCAGTCTGCCTCTGACATCATAAACAAACAAGCAGTCTGCCTCTGACATCATAAAGAAACAAGCAGTATCTTTCTGACATCATAAAGAAACAAGCAGTCTCCTTCTGATATCATGTAGAAACAAGATATATATGTCTGATACATATATATATGCTTGTTGAATATAAATCTTCATTAAAACGTTTAAATGTTCGTTTTTAAAAACATTAAAATCATCATTAAAACGTTTAAATCTTCATTAAAACTTTAAAATTTTCGTTTTTAAAAACATTAAAATCATCATTAAAACGTGAAAATCTTCATTAAAACGTTAAAATCATCATTAAAATGTTTAAATGTTCATTAAAATGTTAAATTCTTCATTAAAATGTTTAAATGATCATTTTTAAAAACGTTAAAAGGTTCATTAAAATGTTAAAATCTTCATTAAAACGTTAAAATGTTCATTAAAACGTTAAAATCTTCATTTAAACGTTAAATTATTCATTAAAACGTTAAAATGTTCATTTAAACAATAAAATGTCCATTTTTAAAAATATTAAAATGTTCATTAAAACGTTTAAAGGTTCATTAAAACGTTAAAATGTTCATTAAAACGTTAAAATGTTCATTAAAACGTTAAATTATTCATTAAAACGTTGAAGTGTTAATTGAAACGTTAAAATCTTCATTAAAATGTTTAAATATTCATTTTTAAAAACGTTAAAATGTTCATTAAAATGTTTAAATGTTCATTAAAACGTTAAATTCTTCATTAAAACGTTTAAATGTTCATTTTTAAAAACGTTAAAATGTTCATTAAAATGTTTAAACGTTCATTAAAACATTAAATTCTTCATGAAAACGTTTTAATGTTCATTTTTGAAAACGTTTAAAGGTTCAATAAAACGTTAAATTTTTCATTACGTTTAAATGTTCATTTTTAAAAATGTTTAAAGGTTCATTAAAACGTTAAAATGTCTATTTTTTTTAAACAAGCAGTCTCCTTCTGATATCAACAAGCAGTCTCCTTCTGACATCATAAAGAAACAAGCAGTCTCCTTCTGATATCATGTAACAAGATATATTTGTCTGACATATATCAGAATATATATATATGCTTGTTGAATAAAAATCTTCATTAAAACGTTTAAATTTTCATTTTTAAAAACATTAAAATCATCATTAAAATGTTTAAATCTTCATTAAAATGTTTAAATGTTCATTAAAACATTTAAATGTTCCTTAAAACGTTAAAATGTTCATTAAAACGTTTAAATGTTCATTAAAATGTTAAAATCTTCATTAAAACGTTAAAATTTTCATTAAAACATTAAAATGTTCATTAAAACGTTAAATTATTCATTAAAACGTTGAAATGTTCATTAAAACGTTAAAATCTTCATTAAAATGTTTAAATATTCATTTTTAAAAACGTTAAAATGTTCATTAAATGTTTAAATGTTCATTAAAAAGTTAAATTCTTAATTAAAACGTTTAAATGTTTATTTTTAAAAACGTTAAAATGTTCATTAAAATGTTTAAAGGTTCATTAAAACATTAAATTCTTCAGGAAAACGTTTAAATGTTCATTTTTAAAAACGTTTAAAGGTTCATTAAAACGTTAAAATGTCTATTTTTTTAAACAAGCAGTCTCCTTCTGATATCATGTAGAAACAAGCAGTATCTTTCTGACATCATAAAGAAACAAGCAGTCTCCTTCTGATATTATGTAGAAACAAGATATATATGTCTGATATATATCAGAATATATATATATGCTTGTTGAATAAAACTCTTCATTAAAACGTTTAAATTTTCATTTTTAAAAACATTAAAATCATCATTAAAATGTTTAAATCTTCATTAAAATGTTTAAATTTTCATTTTTTAAAAACGTTAAAATGTTCATGAAAACGTTTAATTGTCCATTAAAACGTTAAATTCTTCATTAAAACGTTTAAATATTCATTTTTAAAAATGTTAAAATGTTCATTAAAATGTTAAAATTTTCATTAAAACGTTAAAATGTTCATTAAAATGTTAAAATCTTCATTAAAACGTTAAAATGTTCATTAAAATGTTAAATTCTTCATTAAAACGTTAAAATATACATTTTTCAAACGTTAAAGGAGACATAACATGCTTTTAAGTTATTCCTTTTTACATCTAAATCCTTCAGTTGGGGTCTAAATACAGTGGAACTGCAGTTCTTTGTTCTGATTTCCTCATTATTGTTGCTCTACAGACCCTCATCTACCCCTGTTCTGAGAAGAGTCTTGAGAACGAGCCGTTTTTGGGTACTGTCTCTTTAAACTGGAGGAGGAGCTGTAAACTCCGCCCCCCTCCATAGTGCAGATCTGTACTCTCCTCCCCCAGTCGGACTTTGTAGTTCTATAGAGAAATCATTATTTAGCATAGCAGATTTAGCATAGCATATTAGCATTTTTAAAACGTGGGGAGAGTTGTTCATCAAGCTGTTTCAAGGCTGCTAACTCTCTCATGCATTTGTCTGTAGTCACACACACACCCGTCACGGCCGACGGAAGGACAAGCGAGCAGGCACGCGCGTGCGCGCGCGCACACACACACACACACACACACAAGGAATGCTGCTTGCTTATTTATTTCTATAAAAAAAGTTTTAAAAAATGATACAGCATTAAAATAATATATTTTATTAAGATCTCTATCTATCTCTCTCTCTATATATATACATATAATTATAAATAATTTTATAAGTAGTCTTATTTTATATTGGGTGTCTTAATGGCTGAAAATGGATAAAAAGCAGTTACATTTTAATTTAAAGATTTGAGATTCTAGTCAAAAATAAAGCACATTCCTCCAAATGTTCTTTAATGTGATCTTTATAATTCTAATGCTTACAACTTTGTTTTTATTGTCTGCAATGCGTAGCCTATATCTTTATTAAATGTGTGTTTAGCTGTAACGTGGTAATTCTCTAATGTGTACACAGAGGTGGACATCAGTGCTGCAGTGAAATTCCCAAGATCAGTCTGCTTTGCTAACAAATATGGTTAAATCTTACCTGCATTCTAAATAAATACTGTTAGGTGAAAACATCAGTAGGCATTGAGTTATTGATAAAATCCCTAACAGCCAGAATGGAAGAAGAGCATGCTGGGTCATCCTGGATCTGAGCCTGTTCTGTGTATTTACCTACAGGATGCAATAAATGTCTACAAGGCTGAGTTTGGACCATTACATCTAAAAGAAAGCATACAATCAGTGATTTTTTTAATTGTTTACATTAATATACAAATTTTCTAAGTATTAACCTCACAGCAAATAAGTAGAAAAATATAATAAACAGGCTTTAGTAGTTAAACAGGCGTTGTGCACACAGGTGCTTTGTGTCTCTGTGCTGGTGGTATCTAGGTCTCAGAGTTCCTGTCCTCCTGCCATCTTCTGTTGTCCTCAGGATACGGATTGATGTTTCCTGATGAGGAGGGAGGGGCAGTATGTGGGCTTCAAACTGGTCCTGGATAACAGTGGGAGACCTCCGTTGTCTGAATACTGAGACCAGAGGGTTGGTGAGATGCAGATCTTCTCTACCTCATCTAGAAACGGAGTTGGTTCAGGGAAAACTTTTCCAAAGACCAGTTCCATGATGTCATCGCCATATTCTGCAATGATAGACAATAACTTTAGTGACATATTTTGTTTACAAGCAGCTTTAGGAAAGTTGGTTCTTTAGCTTTCATGTTTATAGTCACGTTTGTGTTGTTTTGGTTTACTTTGTTCACAAGTTCACTTTGCTGCAGTGACTTCATATTCTTACAAATGTAATAAAATAGTGACACTAAAATTATACAAATGATTCCTTATGAAAGGAAGCTCATTAGAGAGCAGTGCAGACAGACTTACTACATGCTGCAGCTGTTTTTGTAGGCCAGCTGCTGCTGAATTTGGGGAAAGTTATTCTGCACACATCCAGATCAGATGGTTGTTTACAGAAAATAATGTAATTCAATAATTTCTAAACAGACTAAACAAGTAAAACATCAAATAAATCACTCTGCTGTCATCAGACGGAGTGATTCAGGTGGTGAGGTGTTCTTAATGATGAGGGTGGCTGAGGTGTGTCATCACTCACTTTGGTCTGGTCCAGACCGTCTCTTTACTGGTGGGTCTCCTTCTTCAGTAGGTGACGTGAAGCTCCAACATCTGAACGTTCTGTGTTCCTTAGAGGAGAAGAAAAGTAACAGCAAGCTGGCTAAATTATTTTTTACTAGCATCTCAAGGACTTGGAGAAGCAGATCTTCACTTACCTAAACATCAGACCAGTTTGTCCCAGCTGAGCTCATCAGGGCGTTAGTCTGACAGCCTGTCAGTGAAACACAGCACCTTCTGGATGTTGACTCTAAAAAGCAAACGAACATTTTTAATTTTGTTTTAATTATTTTTCAGCTGATTTTATCAGCTTTCCGACGCTCACGCTCATACAGACGGTGAGCTTTGCTGCGTCTGACAGATGCAGAGTTGGTTTTTATATCTGCAGTGAGACAAAAAACTAACCTCACTTCACTCAGAGATTGTTCTTTAAAACTCTATTAAATCCACTGTGTTGACGCACTTTAATGACTTTGTCACGCTGCATTTTAGCTGATATGGGACTTTATTTACTGGATGCTAAGATTACATCACACTCACGTAAAATAACACACAGGCTCTCTGCTGCTACAATCAGCGGATGTACGTCTGGTGTAAAAGAAGGCGTTGATCAGAAATCACGTTTTATTCCACGAAAATCAGCCAAATCCACATTAATCTGGGTGCTAACTTTACTAGCATACTGTGCTAGCGATAGCAAGCCGGATGCTAACGCTTTAGTGCTGCTAATGCCGTAAATCTAAAGTAAAGTTTGTCGACATTTTAAAGTTATATGAAGCTTACCGCTCTGCTGCTGTGTCCCGTTGCTGCCACATTCAGATGGAAATGACTCCTTTTAGATAGATGAAGCCCTCAGTACTTAGCCACTAGCCTGGAGACACGAACGAATGAACCACGCTGTGTTAATGGAAAAAAAAGTGGGTTTTTCATGTTATGTCTCCTTTAAAATGTTCATTAAAACGTTAAAATCTCCATTAAAACGTTAAATTATTCATTAAAACGTTAAAATGTTCATTAAAACATTAAAATGTTCATTTTTAAAAACGTTAAAATGTTCATTAAAAAGTTTAAAGGTTCATTAAACGTTGAATTGTTCATTAAAATGTTGAAATGTTCATTAAAACGTTAAAATGTTCATTAAAACGTTTAAATGTTCATTAAAACATTAAAATCTTCATTAAAACGTTAAAATCTTCATTTTTAAAAATGTTAAATTTTCATTAAAACATTTAAATGTTCATTAAAACATTAAAATGTTCATTAAAATGTTTAAATGTTCATTAAAACGTTCAAATCTTCATAAAAGCATTAAAATCTTCATTTTTAAAAATGTTAAAATCTTCATTAAAATGTTAAAATGTTCATTAAAACGTTTAAATGTTCATTAAAACATTAAAATGCTCATTAAAACGTTAAAATCATCATTAAAATGTTTAAATGTTCATTAAAACGTTAAATTCTTCATTAAAACGGTTAAATGTCCATTTTTTTAAAACGTTAAAATGTTCATTAAAACATTAAAATGTTCATTACAATGTTAAAATGTTCATTGAAACGTTAAAATGTTCATTAAAATGCTTAAATGTTCATTAAAACGTTACATTTTTCATTACAATGTTAAATGTTAATTTTTAAAAATGTTTAAAGGGTCATTAAAAAGTTAAAATGTTCATTTTTTGAAACAAGTAGTCTCATTCTGATATCATGTAGAAACAAGCAGTCTCTTTCTGACATCATAAAGAAACAAGCAGTCTCCTTCTGACATCATAAAGAAACAAGCAGTCTCCTTCTGACATCATAAACAAGCAGTCTCCTTCTGATATATAGAAACAAGCAGTCTCCTTCTGACATCATAAAGAAACAAGCAGTCTGCCTCTGACATCATAAAGAAACAAGCAGTCTGCCTCTGACATCATAAAGAAACAAGCAGTCTGCCTCTGACATCATAAAGAAACAAGCAGTATCTTTCTGACATCATAAAGAAACAAGCAGTCCCCTTCTGATATAATCTAGAAACAAGATATATATGTCTGATACATATATATATATATATATATATATATATATATATATATATATATATATATATATATATATATTTGCTTGTTGAATATAAATCTTCATTAAAACGTTGTTACGACACCTGGGTTTTTACAATGGTTGGTCGTATTATTATTACTGTTCAGTCAGAATTTTTTCCCCTGTTTTGGTAGTTTTCTTCCCATTGTTTTGTTTTCTTTTGGAGTGACAACACCAGACCCAGATACAAGATGGCTGTCATGCTGTTGTCCAGTAACCATGGAAACCACAATGAGCGCCGGCAGCCTCATCACCATTGGATCCCTCCACAGTTCTTCAGGTGGAAGCAATTGGACTAATCATTTTCTCTGGATCTGGAAAGGATAAAAGGCTGGAGGAATTTTCATTCTGGGAGCTACTTGTAACCAAGTAGACTCCCTTTGGGCTGGTTTCAGGGTTTTAGAAGTTTAAACATCTTGAAAGAAAATAATTCCTCAGCTTTTATTAAGCCTCTCTTTGGGTGTAGTAATTACTCTTGGTAAAAGAACTACAGTGGCCACTGTTAGAGTTTGAGAGTCTTTTGAGGTTAAGTCGCTGAATTATGTAGAAGGTGAAAGCTTCTTTAGGTTTTGGAAATAACCCTGAGTCTTTTAGTTAATCCATCCCACATCTTTCTTTCTTTTGTACCATCCTGTTGGACTATAGGTCTGAATGGTTTTCTTTTGGTGCTGCCAGTTAAAAGATCTGAGCCTTAGTCTCCTGCTTTATTTTATGTGAACATTGGACTCTCTGAGTTTTATGGGCTGTGTTAGTGTATTTCTGTTAGGATTTCCAGCCCTTGGTTATGTGTTATCCTCTAATGTTTTAATAAATTTGTTTTTCTTTACACAAGTTCCTTCTTGCCTCCCTGGTTTCCCCGCCCTGAAGAAGGTAAAACGTAACAAAAGTTTAAATGTTCGTTTTTAAAAACATTAAAATCATCATTAAAACGTTTAAATGTTCGTTTTTAAAAACGTTAAAATCATCATTAAAACGTTAAAATCTTCATTAAAACGTTAAAATCAACATTAAAATGTTTAAATGTTCATTAAAACGGTAAATTCTTCATTAAAAAAGTTAAATGTTCATTATTTAAAAACGTTAAAATCAGGGGCGGATTAAGGACTGAAGAACATCCAGGGCTTAACACATGCGCACACATACGCGCGCGCACACGTGACACTCACTGGTCAACTACATATTTGTCTTGTACCACATAATTTTTAATCTGAAGCTACATATTAAGCATTTTCAGGGCAGAGTATTGTTCCTGTTAGTGTTTAGTGTGAGATGATAGTAAATATTCCCGTTCTTTCTCCAACTTTTCCTGATAGTAAGCTAACTTTAGGCAAACCAGCAGCACAACAAATATTTTCAAATAAGACTCATAAACCTGAGTCAGCACCAGTCTCATCAAAGCTGGGGTTCTGTCGCGGTACTTTTGGTCTAAAAAACGTCCTTATGTCCATCTTCACTCATGCGTTTCAGGCAAAGAGTGTAGAAGAAACCTGCTGCTGAGGGGCTTCTTCTTCAGTAGTGGAGGCTTAGGCAGGCTGTATACAAACTACTGCCAGCTGCTCTCTCTCTGTTGGACTTTGGTACTGCATGTTAGTCTAATGAGCTTTGAAAGAAACAGACCTACTGCATGTTACTTCCGCGATTTGGATCCGGGGCTTCCTATGAAAAATCCGGGGCTTCAGCCCAAGTAGCCGGGCCTAACGCCGCCCCTGGTTAAGATCTTTATTAAAACATTAAAATGTTCATTAAAACGTTGAAATGTTCATTAAAATGTTGAAATGTTCATTAAAATGTTTAAATGTTCATTAAAACGTTAAATTCTTCATTAAAACGGTTAAATGTTCATTTTTAAAAACGTTAAAATATTCATTAAAACTTTTAAACGTTCATTAAAACGTTTAAATGTTCATTAAAATGTTTAAATGTTCATTAAAACGTTAAAATCTTCATAAAAACGTTAAAATGTTCATTAAAATGTTAAAATCTTCATTACAATGTTAAAATGTTCATTAAAATGTTTAAATATTCATTTTTAAAAACGTTAAAATGTTCATTAAAATGTTTAAATGTTCATTAAAACGTTAAATTCTTCATTAAAACGTTTAAATGTTCATTTTTAAAAATGTTAAAAGGTTCATTGAAATGTTAAAATTTTCATTAAAACGTTAAAATGTTCATTAAAATGTTAAAATCTTCATTAAAACGTTAAAACCTTCATTTTTAAAAACGTTGAAATGTTCATTAAAATGTTTAAATGTTCATTAAAACGTTAAATTCTTCATTAAAACGGTTAAATGTTCATTTTTAAAAACGTTAAAATATTCATTAAAACTTTTAAACGTTCATTAAAACGTTTAAATGTTCATTAAAATGTTAAAATCTTCATAAAAACGTTAAAACCTTCATTTTCAAAAACGTTGAAATGTTCATTAAAATCCATGCTTTCGTTCTTTTTTAAACACAGAAACAGTTTTGTTTACCTGTTTGTAGCTACGGTTTCGCCGACAGCTGCCGGCTTCTTCAGGCTGACGCTGATGGTGGCGCGTCACTTCCTTCTCCGTTTATCTGCGGGCAGCAGAGGACGTTGTCGCCCTCTACTGCCCGCTCTCCCCTCTCCGACGATGCAGTCCCATGCGTGGTCCAGCGTGTAAACTCCGTCGTCCCTGTTCATGGTCCCACATCCACGTCTCCTTATCTCTATTGCTTCCTTGATCCATCTTTTGTATTTTTGTTGTTCAGTGGTTATGATCTGTGTGCTGTCCCAGTCCATTATATGGTTTTCTCTTAAGCAATGATCTGTTACGGCTGACTTTTTTATTGTACTTTCTGCTTCTTCTTTTGCTGCTCTTGTGTGTTTACGATTTGCCTCTTTCTCGCACTCCTTTCTGTGTTCTATTGTCCGTGTATTGAGTTGGCGTCCGGTTTCTCCTATGTATGTTTTATTGCATATTTTGCATGGGATTTCGTAGATGACTCCACATTTTTGTCCAGCTGATATTTTGTCTTTTGGGTGTACTAATCTGTTTCTAACTGTTGTGTATGGCTTTGTTGGTGTGTTTATGTTGTGTTTTTTCATTGTTGCTCTTATTTTTTCCGTTATGCCTCTGATGTATGGTAGGGTTATCACTGGTTTTGGTTCTTGTCTTTCTGGGTTTCTGGTTCTTTTTTT